ACAGCGGGAGAAGAAAATACGAGATGAATTGTAAAGCGGTTATATTCAGTTGCGAAATATTTCTCATTTTCTAGGTCCTTGTGGTAGTTTTTTTTGCATATGGCTTTATACATATTTTGTATGTAACCTAAATTTTGTGGTTCCGTGGTTTTAATAAATTATATATACTAGCTTCGATGAAGTTTGCTATTTTATAAAAGCTCATCTAATTCCACTTCCTTCAAGAAGTCTCGGTATCATTTTCATGATACTGCACCCATATACTTGTACATTCATTTGCCATTTTTAACCTTAAATTTTTGAACTCAAATCAGGACACCTCGAAAACTACACAGACCTCTTGGCACATTAGTCGCAAATTTTTGCACCAGATTTGTTGAGTAGTGTTCAAACTTCTACTGATGGCTTTCATTAGTTTAGATGCCTTAGATCAGAGATCCTGAACTACAAGTTTGTAAATATTAAATGTCATATGTATTTATCTCAAAAAAAGAGCTAGTAAGACTAATGATGTCCTAAAAACGAACAAATTTTATGAAAAGTCGAAGGTCTTAAGTGCAGAAATCTCGGAAAATTTTAGAAAGTTAGCTATTAAATCATTGAGTGGACATAGAACCTGGCCGTATAGAGTTAAAGCGCTTAAACTGTCAAGGATTGCCAATCTATCTAGGATACAATTTGATCTAAATATCGGTAACGGTATCTGAAATGGTAATGACTTTTGTATCTTCCTACTGAGAATTTACATTAAGGGGTTACATGGGTTTCCTCGAGTAAAAAACAGTATATTTTCAAGAACTTTTACTCATTTAAAAAATTAAGTGTTTTATTGGAATTTTTATTGTTACAAGCATACACGATTAACAAAAACATTCTTGTCTTAGACACCGCTTACGCGATTTTAGACGAGTTAACAAGAGTGCGCCAGTCGTTTCTTCTTTTCGCTACGTGGCGCCAATGGAACATTCCAGATCCTTCTCCACCTTATGTCTTTCGCCGAACTTTTCACTCGAGAACTCGCAACGTCGACTCATCAGTTGTTGTCATCGTCCAAGCCTCTGCACCATATAGCAGGACGGGAATTATGAGTGACTTATAGAGTTTGGTTTGTGTTTGCTGACATGGCTCTTTCTTATTACAATTTTTGTATTATTATCAATAGGCAGAGAGCTGCCTTTGCCAAAACGCAACATCCGCCTTTGAGTTATCGGTCTGAAATTCTGCTCACGTCCTTCTTTCCCCCAGAAGTTGCTCATTTATCGGAATCGCCGATATCGGACTACTATAGCATATAGCTGCCATACAAACTAAACGATCGAATCAAGTGCTTGTAGAGAAAACTTTTTCATTTGACGAGATATCTTTAAGAAAAATTATCATAGGCAATAAGTTCATGACCTATATACTATTTTTTCATAATATAGGTCATGAACTCATGACAACATTTTATTAAAAAAAAAAAATTGTCAGTTGCTCTGTTTTTCCTTACTTGTTTATAATTATATACCTATAGGCACTTAATTGTACTTACATTTGAACATATGTACGTATATACATAAGTACATATGTAAGTACTTAACTTCAATAATTCGCTACACAAGCAGTATTTGCTTTGTCATTTATTCTATTGTTGACTGTTCTTTATCAATAGAGAGCTACTACTTGTAGTACATCCGCACGCATTTTATATAAAGAGGCTTGATACATAATATTATATATTTATTTACTACCGTAATTTTTACAACAAGTCGCATTTACACTTTGACTATCATAAAAAACGTCTTATCATATAAAGAAGCTAGATTAGCTTTTATTAATGCTTACATACATACTTTTACACCTACAATTAACATGTCGATTGAAGAGTGCCCAGCTTGACACAGCGATATATAGCGATATTAGAATTAAATGCATGTTATTTTTAGTTACCCCTAACCTTCAAAAGGTGCATTTATAGATTTGTCCAATCATTTGTTTGTGAATTATATCATTTTGAGTGAAGCCACTTTTGTTATTGTGAAAAAAATTGATAACATGAAATTTCGCATGTTGATGAAATATGGAAATTTTCGTTTGTGTTTGCGGACATCGAAAAACCCACAAAGTAGTTCTGGATGACCGTAGAGTGTAGTTGCTCGAGATAGCAGACACTCTAGAATATCAACGGAACGTGTATTTTGGTAAGAAACAGCAAAGTGGCTCACTTTTGGCCAAAAACAACAACGAGTTGATGAATCGGAAAAGTGTTTGAAGACGTTCCAGCGTAATAAACCCGAGTTCATGCGTCGATATGGGACAATAAATGAAGCATGACTACATCGTTTCACTGCGGATTCCAAATGACGGTCAACCGTATGGACAGCACACGACGAATTCGCTCCAAAGCGTGGAGAAACGCAACCTTCGGCTGGCAAGGTTGTGGTGTCTGTATTTTGGGATGCGCGTGGAACAATTTTATTGACTACCTTGAGAGAGGAAGGACCTTCAACAGCGACTATTACATAGCGTCACTGGGCCGTTGTAAGAACGAAATCGCCCAAAATCGGCCGCAATAAAAGAAAAAGAGAGTGCAGTTTCACCAAACAATGCACCGTGTTACAAGTCATTAAATGCGGTGGCAAAAATCAGCATCAGCATTCACCCTGTTCTGCAGATCTGGCCCTCGCCGACTATATTCTGTTCTCAGATCTCAAAAGAATACTCGGGCAATGCAAAGAAATTATCGTCAAATGCAATCGGCGAAAATAAGGCCTATTTTATATTTATATTGAAAAAATAAATATATAAAATTTGGCAAATAAATTGTTTTGCTATAGTAGAGCGGGAACTTTTCAATTGGCCTATTATGAATCGTACAAAAGGTAATAAAGATAATAAATAAGCTGTAATTTATTAGCGTTAAGTGCATTCTTTGTATCCCCCTCATTGTTGCCTTTGATTCACAAATGCATTCCAAATGTGATAATGGTATGGTAACTAATACGAGTGTTAGTAAATATCACTCTCAATACTCATTTAAGATTCACGTATTTTTATTATACTATGTAGTCATATAATCCCAGAATATATATCGCTTTGCATATTAATATATAGATACATATATCCATTATCGTAACGAGATTAACACCTGACATGTAACACAGTTGCAATGCGCTCTCAGCTTCTCAAATGGCTCTCCTTATCAGTGAATTTGCCTTTATTCTACTTTATAGATTAATCTAGTATAGTTTAATTGAATTTATTTATAATTTATACGAGCACACATATGTATTAAATTGATATGTGCTAATAAATTACGTTTTATTGCCACTGACAATTATAAAATGTATACAATATATTATATTAGGTTGTCAAAAAAGTCTTGCGGCATTTTTATTGAATTTTCAATTGTTCATACAATTTTTTTTGATGACTCATGCCCAGCTCTTGACCGATACTACGGCTGCTACTATGCCGGTCTCTTTCGACCAATTCAGCGATTTTATCGCAATTTTCGACGACAGGGCAACCTAATATATAATAATTATGAACCAATAATCATAGGAGCCTTTTAGAAAGAGTCTAGAATCTAGTATTTCATAATTTTAGCTTCAAGTTTATACATCAGTGGGGAGAGGTTATTATAACTCAAAACTTACGTGCAGAGTCTCTAATCCATTGTTCAAGTTCACATCCCTCATTTTGATTCGGCTTGCTAATGTTTAATCCAATTCTCCACACACTTGTTATAACCCTCGCTGGGACGAATTTTAGTGTCTTGAGTGAATTTTGGTTTTTTCGAGTTTTGGCTGTTGGACGGTTTCGAAGTCAAATTCATAAATCCACGTTTTGTCACCAGTATTCATGGGTTTGATGAATGTGGGATCCTCATGTACGTCGTCTAGTTTCTAAGGTTTCTAAAAAAGGTTTCTCTAATCCTTGACGTTTTTGCAAAACATTCAGAGCATTTGGTGTGAGTCTAGCACGGACATACTTCAGAACCAAAACTTTAAACAAATGCGATCCGCAAGAAATATTGTCATCTTCTTTTATCTCTTTGATTCTAACACGATGATTTTCAAACACTTTCGATTTCTATTTCAAAAGGGCTGTTTAGTTAAGTTGTGAACTGCTACATGTAGTCCTTTGTGAAGCCATAAAATATAAGAACTGCTGTGCTCGAACTTATAAATTGGCAAAACGCTTAGTAGCCAATACAAAAGTGCAGGCAATTAATTTCCCTCCCAAGTGCTTAAACCCTGACCTCCCAAAGCAAAGCCCAGCTATCTAATATTAGAGCAGGATACGGTAACAATAATCCGCTACCATTCTTTGTGTCCTTTCCTGTAATTCCGCTTCCCATACCTGTCTTATTACTAAGACACTCGATGCTATTGATAGCAAGGTTAGGAACTCGATACTAGCCTTGAAGTATCGCCGCTCTGCTATCTGAGTGAATGGTCACTTTTCTGAAGGAATCTGCACTCCGGCGCAACAGAGTTACTACTACCTTAATGGCTACAGTGTAGGCTTAACAAAGGACAAATCAAATTTAAAAAAAAGGACTCGTCTCAGTCAAATTTGATCAGATGGTTTATTAGCAAAAAAAAATTTTAATTTGATTTCTAGATTTCTTTTTTAAACTTTTCTCTTGTTACAAAAAGTCTCAATCGACCTTTGTCTGCAATTGGTCCCTGAACTTCGTTGGATAATCTACCAGTTTAACTACATTGAAATAAAAAGTACATTAAGTCTTTACATATGTATGTATGCCTTAAGCGACGACAAAATATTATGAACGTGCTTATGGCTTACAAAACTGGGCATTTGTACCTCTCCAAAGAGGGTTATTTTGCATAAATGCGCTCTCTCAAGTAAATATGTTAATTTTTGAAATATGATGGTATAATATTTACTTGTCATTTACCAATGATCATGCATAATTTCAATCGTGTCAGTGCTGTACACCTAAATTAACATTTTTATACCCTGAGCAGGGTATATAAAGTTTGTCATGAAGTTTGTAACACCCAGAAGGAAGCGTCGGAAACCCTATAAAGTATATATATGAATGATCAGTATGTTGAGCTGAGTCGATTTAGCCATGTCCGTCCGTCCGTCCGTCCGTCTGTATGTATATATGCGAACTAGTCCCTCAGTTTTTTAAATATCGTTTTGAATTTTTGCAAACGTCATTT